TACTTGTCTGCTAAATTCTACTCTAATAATAATAACTAAATAAGACTAAATGATAATAATAAAATAAATAATAAAATCCAATATCGGAATAATAAACTAATAAAATAATAAACTGTTCTATAACAGTACCAAGATATTGTGCACATGATAAAAAAAGTTGTGTCAATTAATATTCCAGAAAAATTGCCAATTAACTCAATAATGGTATTGTCATTTGAATACCCTCCGCATAGCAGTAATGCAACAATTCAAGATAGTAAAATTGAGTTAAGTTATAATCAACCTAAAGACATTTCTGAAAATGATAATTATGAAAATATTGAATCTAAAAGTGACGAATCTAAGAGTGAGAGTAATGAATCTAAAGATGAATATTCTGAATTTGTTATTAAATATCCACTTGATTCATGTATTTTTGTCTTGAACAAAGAGTTTGTAGAAGCTGATATATCAACTAGCAAATATAAAAAAATTTATTTAAAATTGATAGGCTTGCCAATTAGTTGAAATTTATTAAATATTACAAAAATTTATTTACAAAAAATAAAAATAAAATATATGCAAAAAAAATTAAAAAAAAATTAAAATTTAAAATATATACCAGTCAAAATAAAAGAAATATATAATAAAAATACGATAATTATGATAGAACAGAGTGAAACCTAAGTCACTAGCTAGTAAAATTTGCTGTGTAGAGTGAAATCTGTGTTTTGGGTTAGGGTTAGGGTTAAATCTGAGTTTTGCTATGTTTTTTACTATACAAAAGCGAATTTCAACCTTCATGTGATCTACATAGCAGATTTCACTCTACATAGCGAATTTTACTAGCCGGTGATTCAGGTTTCACCCAGTTGTCTGTTCTTCATTGCATTGAGTTAATTTGATTCGTTTACTCTCGACAAAATTAATAAAATCTGATTCCAAATTCAACTCATCTGTGAGGATAAGATTATATCCAGACGAGTTTACTCTATCTTTTGAATTCTTAGTAAAATTTTCCTTTGATGAAGCTACTAAGATACTGATAGTTTCAAATTTTCCGTATCTTGACAATACTCCTTCAATTTCATGCACCATTTTAGGCCTAATTTTATCACAATCCTTATTAAATAAAAAACAGTTAATATCATAAATAAATTTAAAATTGATTAGACTAGATTATATATCTTTGGGTGTCTAATGCAAATCCAATCACAAACATAGTGAAAATGGTATAGTAATGATCATTGCCCAATTTTTTTATAGTGTAAACAGTAAAAACATATAAAATTTAAAATATAATATCTCTTGAACTAGTAAATATACTGTACACAAATTACCTCTATATTTATTAGACTTCTCTTAATATGTTTTTAATGTTACATTTTTTATTTTTCTTAGGAATTACTGACTTTGTCTTGATATATATAAAAAAGCATTATTACATTAAGAAAAATCTAATGAATTTATTTTATTGTTCAAGAGATATTGCAATTTCAATTAATGTGTTTTTACTATTCACAATAGAACAATATGATTATCATCATACCTATCTGCACTAAGTTTTGTAACTTGCATTAGCACCCTAATATAGCTTGTATTCAACTACTATTGTATATCCACTCCAACCTTCTATCCAATCGATTCCTCTGTCACCTGGTGCGTGTCTATCAGATTAAACAAAATAAAAAAAAATTTGTGAGCATTTGTCTACATTATCATCAAGATTCAAAAAGAATATTCATAATCATATTTGAACACATGATTAGGCCACGAAGAGCTTTTAATTCTTAATTCATGTACTCTATTCACCACAGGCCTGGAGAAACTCCATAAATAACTTTCGACAAGGATGGTAAATGACCTGAAATGACTTCATGACTCAAGTGAATAATGATCAGTCATTGGTCATTTAAAAATATGAAATGACTTGTAGAGTTATTTAAAAATATATACTATATTTGCGCATAATAACGCATAGGAAGTAATTTCGAATTTTGGCCTAAATTAAGTTTAATTCGGGCCATTACTTGAAATAACACCCCGGCACGCTATTATGCACAAATACAGTAATAGATACAAACAACAAGAATCCTTTAATAATGTGCAGTGCTTTTAAAATGCAAAATGTCTGCAACCGGGTATTTTTTAATCTATATAATTTGTTTTATGTCCTGAGTTTTTAATCTGCGCGATACGAATAGTATCATTAGGGTATTTGGGCCAGGGATACGTAAAAATTTCCAAATTTTTACGTGTATCTGATTTGGACCAGTGGTTATTAACTCTAAATTTTGTTATATACATATATTTAATCTTTTATTTATAAATTAACGTTAACTACAAGACCATACTAGCATATTCGTGCATATTTATTTATTTATTCATACCTAATTCAGAAATTATATAAGTATTTATATTTCAAATACTATTTATTTATTTGTGCTGATCAAACTTTAATGAATCATTAAAATTCTTAAAATGCGAATGAAATGGGTGCTTCTAAAGAATCATTGAATAAATTCAATAAATTCCATTTTGCCAACGGATCATCTGCTGGATGAGTAATACGTCCACCTAATTCAAATTCAAGTGTTTCATTACTTGAAGATTCATTCTGATCGAAATTATC